GGATGGATGGATGGATGGATGGATGGATGGATGGATGGATGGATGGAACAATCAACAAATAAAGCATAACCTACTAGTTTTTGTATTTTACAAAGAACTCCTCTACTTCGATAACCACCCCTGGAGAAACCTAGGAAAAAAAAAAAAAATTACAACAATAAAAGCACATGGATGTTAAAATAAAAAATTTAATACTGTTAAAATAAATTTAACATTTTAAATAACTGCATCTATAGCCAACAATAAAATAACAGATTTGTGATTCAGTGTTCTGTATTTTAGAATCATTCAAGAAATAAAAATACAAAAACAGAAAAAGTTACCTCATTCTTCATTATACGAGAAGACATGATTTTGTCAACAACAGCTGCATCTTCTTCAGTGGGATTCTCCTACACATGAATTAACATGAAACATTTCAAAATTAAAATTCTAGTCTCCCTAACCATTTAAAAATATATTTACAAATAATAATAATAAAGACGTACACAGAAGAGCTTATTTCAAGCTATACACACGTAATATCCTCTGGTAGTGTAACTTTTCATTATACGCACAGGAACTTTCAACTGGTACTTAAAAAAATGCTGAAAATTACATTAGAATAAATGTTTGAAAATGAGAGCTCAAGTGAGAGAGTTTTATAACCCAGCCAATTAAACTTTATGGTCCAAAAACTTAAAAGGAGAATTACTCACAACAAAAAGCTGAACAGCGGGTTCCTTTGATGCTGCGGTGTTGGCTTTCTTGGCTTTGACAATAACCTTGACGTCCTCATCCGACAGCCTGGCCTCCAGCTCTTCAGCATACTTCTTTCTCTTCACCTGACGGTTCGATCGCCTCTTCTAGACAACAACATGAAGTATGGAGCACATTTACACACAAAAAAATTTAGACATACAACATTTCTAAAATAAATTATACCATCAATAAACATGCTCACAAGTTGAACTTCCTTTCATCTAGAAGGCAGTTTATAACCAAACCATTTCAAAAGGACTGTTAAGGTAAGGTGTTGAAAGTTGGGTA